GCCCATCGATCCAGCCTGTCCAGATCCCCTGTGTAGTTTTCTTCCCTCCTGCCCTTCACTAAGAGCCTTCTTCTGAAAATAATAAATATTGTTGCCTACCCTTAAATATATAGCTTAACAACAAGTATGTTGACTTGGTAAACAATAAGTTATCCATGGGACAGCAATGTGCCCTGGTGGCCAAGAGGGCCAATGGTATCCTGGGGTGCATTAGGAAGAGTGTGACCAGCAGGTTGAGAGAGGTTCTCCTCCCCCTGCACTCTGCGCTGGTGAGGCCTCACCTGGAGGAGATAGTTTTGTGTCCAGTTCTGGGCTCCCCAGCTCAAGAGAGACAGGGAACTTTTGGAGAGTCCAACGGAGGGCTACGAATATGATTAAGGGACTGGAGCATCTCTCATGTGACGAAAGGCTGAGGGACCTGGGGCTGTTCAGTCTGGAGAAGAGGAGGCTGAGAGGGGACCTTATCAATGTCTGCAAGTATCTGCAGGGTGCCTGACAGGAGGATGGAGCCAGTGTCTTTTCAGTAGTGCCCAGTGACAGGATGAGGGGCAATGGGCATCAACGTCCTGCAGCACAGGAAGTTCCACCTCAACAGGAGGAAAAGCTTCTTTACTGTGAGGGTGACGGAGCCCTGGAACAGGCTGCCCAGAGAGGTTGTGGAGTCTCCTTCTCTGGAGACCTTCAAAGCCCCACTGGTCGCATTCCTGTGCGACCTGCCCTGGGTGATCCTGCCTTGGCAGGGGAATTGGACCAGATGATCTCCAGAGATCCCTTCCAACCCCCACCATTCTGTGATTCTGTGACTTGTTGGATTGTTTGTGTATTAACTATGATCAAACATACTCAATATTAGGACTAACCCCATACTTCTCTGGCTATATGTTCATTACCAAGTAACTCGGCACGATAGGGCTGGAGTAGTAAACCAGAGCAGTTGGTACTGAAGCCACTGCATCCATCCAATTTGCAGCTCAGGGTGTTTGGTTTTTTGCCACCCTTCAGACCAGGTTTGATCTCTTCTACTAAACTTAATATCCACACCAGCATTGGTGCAAATTTGTCTGTGGATCCTGTCGCTGGTTCTGACTCGTATGGCTCCTTGAGAAGTTGGAGCACGTTTGGTGTGCAGAGCGGAGCTTCTGGCTTGGTTTCTTCCAAAAGGATATTAATTTGCGTGCGCAAAACTCCACTGTGAACTAAATGTACAACATGTGGGAACAATCAGAAAATCTGTTTTGAAACCAAAATGTGAATTTAGATGCAGCTTCTTCTCTTGTGTAATGTAGCGGTGTAAAATCTTTCTCACTGTACACACAATACATTGAAACAGACATCTTTTGAAATGAAAGCAAGCAGTGAAACAAACTTTTTTTAATGTTAACAGTGAAACAATTTTTGTTTCATTTCTGCACAGGCTTTTTTTTTAAGCTTTGCCTGAGGTTGCAATTCCACAATGACTTTAAATTGACAGGAGAGAGAATTTCCATTGAAAATGGTTGTCAAATATTTCCTCTAGCCCCTTGTGCGGTGGATTCCTGGTGAATCTGATCTTGGCAGTGATCTGACTGAAAACTAACGTGACAAAATCAGAACAATCAGTGCTCAGCCAGATCAGTTCCTTGATGCAGGCGCTGCGTGACTGCTAAAGCCTCAGTCAGGCAGGGTAGGGGACTGCGCCGCCGTAGGAGGAGGCGGTAGGTGTTTGGTCCACTACTTTCATCAGTGGCTTTCACTTGTGCCAGCGTTAAGTGACCAGGGAACCAGAGCCTTAATGGTGAAGAGCGCAGGTTGTTCAAGCTGAGATCGCTGGGTGATGTGGAGAAACGCAGCCTTGCAGAGGCAATTCTGTGCCTTGGTAACAGAGCAGCTCAAGTATACTGCAAGTGATATTAGTCGTAAAGATACTGCATCAGCTCTTTACATAGAGACTCCACATTTTTAGTGGGTTCAAAATAATAGTGCTAATGAAGCCTTACATACGCCTCAGCCCATGTAGCTGGTACATGCCATTAATGTTGATTTTAAATATGAAACTCCTTAGTAGAGTAACATTTAGAGTGCTAAATGTTATAATTTATGATACAATTATGTATCATCATACTTATCTCAGATTTTGCTGAAACAAATTATAAAATCTTTGTGTGTCCTATCTTGAAAATGGGATCCAAGAGCTGACAGCCTGTGAGCACAATTTTTAAATTAAATCCATAGAAAACCTTTACAGAAGCCAGTAAAATAATCATTCATTTAGTCATTACTGTTCCTCATTGTTTTTTCTTATGTAGACGTTTCTTTCATTGTCTGTTTGAAATCCATTTCGTCAACTTAATGGCAACTTTGTGACCTGTCAGCAGTTTTATGGAAATTAATACAAAATGCCAGTGTAAAAATGGAGTCTGTTACAATCCAATACATGTATAAGAACAAACAAGTTCTTAAATATTTTTTCCAGACTAGCTCTAGGAAAAGTTTAGGTTGGGTTACATTTTTTTCAATAGGCCCAGTTTTGTTTGCTTACCCAGCTTGAGTATCTGGTATCATTCATTCCACAGATCGTATCAGTCGCATTTACCACTACTAGTTTCTTTGTTCCTTTTTCAGAGCGAAGGATTGCCTTAAAGCCATCATGAAGAGAGTAAATCATAAAGTTCCCCATGTTGCTTTGCAGGCACTTACAGTGAGTAGACTATCACTGTTTTCAAAAAACTTTGTATTCTTTTATGTAATGCAGCATTAAATGTGTACTGATCAATTAATACCTTTATATATCTTCAGTAGAAGTCAGAGTGTGCATGCTGAACAGATTATTAAATTTGACTCTTTTTATGTGTGCTCTTATTTTGGATTATTTTCATTGTTGTCATACATTTTCACAATTGTATTTCTGTTGTCAGCTTTTAGGAGCCTGTGTATCAAACTGCGGAAAAATATTTCACTTAGAAGTGTGTTCTCGTGATTTTGCTAGTGAAGCTCGAAGTATAATAAATAAGGTAATTTTTTATAACCTCAAGTACTGGTGAGAATTATTTTGGTAACTTCTTTGCTTTGACTCAGCATAGAAAAGAATTGACAAAACTAATGTTCTAGTTAATATGCATTTTCTAGTTTTGGTGTAATTGCAGAAACTGCTGGCTGTTCATCTTATAACTGAAATTTGTGTAGTTTAATTTTTACTATGAAAATATAAGGTATTAAAGAAGTGACAGGCTGATAGTACCTAATCCAAATTATTACAAAATTACATGAGCATTTTTAATTAAAATCTGTGACTCTTTCTAAGCTCAATTAATTTGATAATTGTGAAGGTAACTTTTCTTAAAGAGAGTTTTTACTTGGTTTGAGTGAAATTCATGGGCCGAATTGCAAAGGGAAAACTCTGAGAAAGTTAAACTACATTTTTACAAGGAAAAGGATAAAATCTTCAGACAACTTTCTTAGTTTCCAGAGATTCTCAGAATGCTGAATGAGAAGGTAACCAAGAAAGGAAGACATAAATGGTTAGGGTCAAGCAGCTGATGGTATCTAAATCTGGATGTAATGAACTGAATAAGCAGAAACAGCTTTCCCCTAATAACCACTCCAGTTGAAGACAAAAATGGCTAATGGGTTAAGTCTTCAAATATATGGGAGGCCTGGAATCATCAGAGGTGGAGCAAAGCAATTAAGGAAACTAATAAAATTGCTGGGAAGCAAAATGAGTTCACAGCTCTTCTGTTTCTTGCTTTGTGTGGAAAAATAGGTCTTAAAGTCCTCCCCTTTTATTCTCATTAGCCGTGGTCCATTCTGAAATAGAACATTGACCTTCATGGTCTGACAGCACTTGTGGACGTAAAAACAAACCTTTAATCCCACTGAAGAATGGTCTACTAGAGTATAATTTATTTTGTTGTCAGCAAATACGTATGTTTTAACCCCATCCCGGGCCCACTTGGACGAATAATCTTCAGAGGGCAGATAAAATTGTGCTTTTTCCCTTTTCTGCAACAGAAAATTAGTTCAGACAAGTGTAACAAATGTCTTTGTGCTGATACTGAGACTATCAAGCTAGATCTTTTCTTTCAATTAAATGTGTACTTGAGCCAAAACTTGTCAACGTTCTTACTGTTCAGCATATGTTTGGATGTGAGGCGCAGGCTTACAATGTGATCTCAGCTACATTCAAATGAGAAAGCCCGGCGCGCCCTGCATTTATGCAGTCCCAGGCTCTTATCCAGACAAGCCAAGTGAAGCGATGTAGATGAGCCCAGCAAGCCCCAGATTCCGTATTTACCAGCAGGTATCCTGAGGTTAGTTTGGATGCTTTGGGTTTAAACTACAGTCTTTTCATCCACTGTCAACTGGTTTTTCCTGTAAAACCATAAAACTGGTTTTACACAACCAGAAAGTGTATGGAGTCTGTAGTGCTTTGGTTTGTTTTCTTGCGTAGTGTTGGCATGGCCTTCACATACTGCTCTGTTGAAGTGTTGGTCTTTTTGCTCCAAAACATTTTTTAAGACTATTGCAGGATTAACAGCAGTTGATGTTTAATGTGACTGAGGTATACTCTGAAGGGTATTCTTTAGCCATACAGTAGAGTAATACATGAGACTGACCTGCTTTTCTGAAGGTATATTACTACTTTGTGTTAGGTTGTTAGCACATAAAATTTGCAGCGTGGAATGAAATCAGTGGTCCTGTGAGGATTCAGAGTAGCCATAAATCCTGTGGATGAGAGTGGAGGAAGGGGAGCTTCTTGGAGGAGGAAGGTAGAGGCTTTTTCATGCAAGAGGCTAGAGAAGTGTGTGGCAGCCAGAGGAATTGCAGGCAGAGCATGAACAAGCAAATATCTTCCTGTACCAGACTGTGTCCCTGCACCTCAGTTCCTAATTCAGGACCTGATAGTATAAATTGTCCCATGAGCTGGGTGGCACTGTACCTAATGCAAAATGCGTAATTCCTTTTTGTGAGAGAATCTGGACCGAGACATACGTACACTCTTATGTATATACAGAGATGGTACTAAGATCAGGTTTTTGTGAGATCCTGTCACCTGAGAAGTCAGCAGGGAGAAATGTCTTCTGTCATCTAAGGAGAAGACAGCAGAGGTCAAAAAAGGTGGGGAAGCGGTCTTGTTTTGTAGGGGAAGACAATATCTTACATTAGACCAAAGTACACGGTTGGGAGGGGAATAACAATACAAAATAGAAGTAATGAAGAGAAAACTGAGGTAAAATGAAGGCTAACTAACATAGAGGTGAAGAAAAGTTGGGGTAAGTGTGGTAGATAGCCTGAATTTCTCCAAAACTATTGAGGTGGAAATGGCGAACATTTGAGAAGTCAGAAAGTTTGTCAATCTTTTTCCTTAACCATTCCGTAACCACCTAAAATTGACTCCACTAAAATAATGGCAGCATAGGTAGGTGAGCTGCCTGCAAGATCTAAGCTTGGGCTGTGCAGGAGAATTTGCCTCAGAGGATTGCTGTAAGGGTTGAAGGAGCCCTGATGTAAAATAACCAGTCATTTGGTAGAATCAGGGAAATTTGAACTACCTGCAGTCTGTTTCTGCATTGGGGTAATGGTGTTGGAAACTACGCCAGCTTTCCAATGAAAGGATGATGCTCCAGAAGCTAAGCATGCTGTCTTGTAATATCGGAATCAGTGTATAAGAGACCATATATTCTCAACTCTGTTTTCCAGATTTTCTTAATCAAGCCAATTATTAATTATTAAGGATATTTATAGTAAAATGGTTTTGGTAACAAAGGTTTACTGAGAGGCAATAACTGTTTCTGTTCATTTTGAGGCACAAGCATCCCTTTCTATGCATTTTGTCTTCTAGGCTCATCCAAAAGTATGTGAAAAGCTAAAAACTCTGATGGTGGAGTGGTCTGAAGAATTTCAGAAAGACCCACAGTGTAGCTTAATATCTGCAACTATTAAATCTTTAAAAGAAGAAGGTGTAACTTTTCCTGCAGCTGGATCACAGGTAAAAGCTGATTTGGGATACATGGTACTGTTGGGTTCACTGTTCCTGGCAGTGAACAAAATGGAAAGCTGTCCAAATGATACATTTTCTGCTTTTGATCAGAGGAGAATAGGATCCTTGTTCTAGTTTAGTTGCCTCCTTATGCTGAGGTTCACTTCTATTCATTCTGCCTTTTTGTGTCCTTGCCTTCCTAAGAAAAATAAGAACAGACTAAAGGCTATTTCATGATGCCTTTATGAGTTGTTTCGTTTTAGATCCTTCTTTTCCTCCGATCATTTTTAGAGCTTCGTTGAGCTGTCACCAACAAGCAATTGAAGCAATTCTACACCCACACTTTGTAGTTGGTGCTTCATGGTTCTAATTGCTGACTTGCAGCACATAACTTCATTTTTTTTTCACAGAGTTTCACAAAACAAAGGGCAATATCTGGAATTGGGACACTTTTGAGGATGATCTGTGCTATGCTTTCCTTTTCTGAGTCCCCATTTCTTGTTCATGCAGTTACCTGTCCATGTCAGGAATTGTCCTGGCCCTGCAGTAGGTGGGGTACTCTAATCCCTAACCTTACCCTTTGTATTTTACTTCTGGTGGTGTGTTATGACTAATCTCCTATCTGACAGATAGGATGACAGCTGTTTTTTTCCTGTGCTTTATTATTGATGCTTCCAGATATTTTCATGTTAATCATGAGTCAGGTGAAGATCAGTCCTGAAAATGAGAACTGCAGCTTCTATTACGTATTCCTTACATGAAGTTTACTTTTCTCTGTATTAAACACAGAGGGTTTTTTTACTTTTACAATCTTTCCTTCCTCCACAAAGATGTTTTCACTTCTAAATCTAGCATATGTGTTAAAACATATGGCAGAAACATGGAAGATCTAGAGTACTGGCAAACAACTATGCTTCCTTTCCTACAACTACATATAAAATGACATCTTGATGTTTTTACCTCATACAGTTCACTTTAAACAAGCAAAGCTGAGGTTTATTATTATTTGGTACGCTTGTACAGAATTGTTTTCTAGGAGCATTGGTAAGTCCTAGACATGGCTAGTGTCTGAAATGAGGTTCTTCATTCCTGGTATGTGCGGGAAGACTTCCTTGTCGGAATGAAAGCTTAAGGATTTCACTATGCTGTTGTGGAGACTGGTATTATTTAGGTCAGCAGCTTCCAACTTGATGTGCATTTGCTTTTCCTTCCCGTTGTCCTACCAGCAGAGATACAGAGTGGCTTTTTGCTCTGATACGGAGAGAGATCTCCCTTTTCAGCGCGTCCAGATGCTGCTTAATAACTTGGGTCTTTGCAGATGTAGGACTCCAAAAAGCTTTTCTTCCCTTTTGAAGGGAGGGGTGGAGGACTGGCAGACAAAGGTGGAAAGAGCAGTCATTTAAATGAGTAGTCTCACTTCATTAAATGAGACTACAATAATCATTTAAATGAGATCCATTATTTAAATTAGATCTGATTATTTGTTTTCCTTTGTTCCTTGCTGAAAACAAAGTAAAACCCAGCTGAGATTCTGAAGAGTAGTATTTTTTTCTTCAAGAAGGTCATTCTGATTCAGTAATGAAGTGCTACAGTAAGGCAGCTAACCAGAAAAGACTTACTATTAATTTTTTTAAAGCATATCATTACAGAGCTTTCTTTTTCCTTCGTAACCTGAGCTTATTTTGTTGTTAATACATTTGCAGGCTACCACAAATGCTGCTAAGAGTGGTTCATCATTAAGTAAAAACAAAGAAGATGAAGATATAGCTAAAGGTAAATTGGTAGTCACAGCCTTGGGTTAGATTTGTGCTCTGGAAGTTTTGTTAAAATGCACGGAAATAGGAAGTTGTACTCTCTTCTGCTGCACAGAATTCAAAGCAAGGGCACAGCAGGTTGGGAATTAGTATACGTATCATTCAAGGTGTTCTCCTCATGGGTGAGGATTTGGGGTAAGATATATTCTTCCCCACCACATAGCCTTTAGCCTTGTTTTGTGACTGCTTTCTCTCCAGAGAGCCTGGTCTTTTTCCTTCTGTACCCACATGTTTTATTTGAGCCTGGATCTTGATACTTTAAAAAAAATCAGAACATTTAAATGTTTTATTCTTTGTCCTCTTTCTTGGATATATTTACTGTTGTTCAGATGTCATAGTGAAGAATTTATCAGTATTTCTGATCATGCTAATGATGCTACTGACGTTAGTAGTGTGTGCGTTGCTTCTAGTGGGCTGTACCATGACAAGCAGAGGGTTTTTTAAGTGTTTCATAACTTCTGTGTGATTACATCTTGTCTTTTAATCCTGTTGCAGGGCAGAGTAAAGCTGTTGAAATGTGAAATATGGCTAGTAGTTTGGAGAAAAGATTTTAAACTTGAAATATTAGAGAAGCAGATACAGGCCATATTTATAATACAGCAATAAATAGGTTTGGTTTTTTTATACAAAGGCAGTTTGCTTTCCTAATACAGGGATAAAATATACAAATTCTTTTTTTTCCCCCCCTCCCCTAATTGTAGCTATCGAATTGTCTTTGCAAGAGCAGAAACAGCACCAAATGGAAACTAAATCCTTGTACCCATCTGCAGAAATTCAGCAAAACAATCAGAACTCAAGGAAGGTGCGAGCTCTGTATGACTTTGAAGCCGTCGAGGACAATGAGCTCACCTTTAAAAGTGGAGAAATTATTTTTGTTTTGGATGACAGGTATAATATAATCCGATGAAGGTGCCTTTATTCCACAACTGTTGTTGTCTTAGGATAGCAAATTTTTCCTCTGATGCTTTTTTCCCCACAGAAATGTGTATTGTCGCTCTGGCCTCCTTCTATCTTTATCCCTTTATCTTCCATTATTCTTTCTGTAACCCAAGTTTTTGACCTCAAGACATTTTTGGTGCAGGGGCATCCTTACCATATTACATTGGGTATTTCATTCTGTGGTGCAGGTCCCAGTTGTTTGTAGTTTTTAAGATAAATGTTAGTTGGTAATACAGGTTGTAAGAATACACAATACACATTACAGCGCTAAATTCCAGCTAGTTCCAGAAATTGTTAAATCTCTGGCTATCAAGTATCACTTTGTTAAGAATAAAACTAAGTTTTATTTTTTCCTTATTTCTTATTTTCTTAAGGAAAAAATACTTAAGTTAATTATTGTTGATACTGTCCAATCAATCTAAAGAATTGAAGAGTTGTGTTTAAATTTTTGAGTGATTGCTACTGAATGATTTTACTTCCCCTGATCCCTCCTCTCCTCCCCACCCCTCTGCCCCAGCTCCTCTCTTAGGCTTTGCTGTTAATCTCTACAAATGTTCTCCTTTGCCTTTGTTATTGGATACACAGGGAAACAGTGTATTGGATATCACAGGTTTTCTGTCAAAAGCCCAAAATATGTTGCTGACGGTAAGTGTTAGTGTTCAGAGTTTTGTAATACATCTTTATTTCCCCAGTGACACCAATTGGTGGAAAGGTGAAAATCATAGAGGAGTAGGACTGTTTCCATCTAATTTTGTGTCTTCTGACTTAAATGTGGAACCTGAGGCAGGTAAGTTAGCTACTAAAGCTGACAGATTATTTTAGAAAGGTGGCCTTTATGGTAGAACCACTAATTAGCCCATCAGCAAAATAATTTTCTGAAATCAGCCCAAGGAAAGAATTGAGAGAGAAATCCTGCCCTTGTTTCAAACAAGCAAGCAAGCATATAGCTTGCTGTAGCTCACTTCAACGATTTCCATCTTCCAATTCTCTTCTAAGTTGTTAACCTTTTTCCTATTACAGAAATTCAGTTCTTTGTCAGTAACATACTACGTATGAATCTAGTAACTTACCATTTAAAATGTCAAAGCCTCTTTTCAGACATCAGACGCTGTGTAGAATAACATTCATACCCCTGTCAGTGGCTTGTAAGAATCACATGGTTAGCTTTATTCATGCCCATGATACCAAAATAAATCTTAACACTTACGACTTGGATGAAAGTGACTGTATGTGTGTTGGAGGTGGTTTTAGATGCTAATATGACTCAAGAGTCTGTCCCTTGCTGGGCCTAGGTTCATAATCAGGCTAACAGCCCAAAGGAAGCAGCTTGTCAGAACATTATCTAAGCAAACCCATTTTCCCTTCTCCAGCAACTAGGTGCACCACTGCTTAAAGTACTTATTCAAATTTCTTTCTTATTTAAAGAACTGATGGCAAGCAAGGAGCAAATGCATGTTTTAAATTAGCGTAGTAACACAGCTGCAGAAGAGAAACTAATGTTTGTTCTTTCAGCAACTGTGGATAAAAATTCTGTTCCTGAGGATACTACAGAAGAAATTAAGAAGGCAGAACCTGAGCCAGTTTATATAGATGAGGTATGCAGTCACTTTCAATATAAAAAAAATTGCTGAGATTTTACATTGGTTGAAATATTACTTTGTCACGGAATGTTAGCAGAAAACTCTTTTTATATAAAGAACTTTTTTTTTTTAATTTTAAAATCAAAACAGTATCTGCCATGCTTTAGAAATAACTTTTTAATCTTCTCTTCACCTTTCAGGATAAGATGGATAAAACACTGCAGGTACTTCAGAGTATAGATCCTACAGACTTAAAGCTTGATTCTCCAGATCTTCTAGACTCAGAAGGTACTTTGAGCACTAAGTTTGCTAGTTTTTGAATTTTTCCTCACAATTACCTTTTGTGGATTGAGCTGGCAATTCCTTTGAGTTTATTTTAAGCTTAGAGAAACTGTGGTCCATTCTAATAGTGTGCCATAGAATAGCTTATTTCACAGGGGGAGCAAGGGACTATATGTATAACTCTACATTTTCTAATAGTTGCCAAGCCAACTCCATGTTTAACAGAGTAATTTGCATAACTTCCAGCTAGTGTGCAATGCCTGATCTTTGCAAGATCTGTCTACCTATCAAACCTCTGCTTGAAATAAGTAATTAATTTTGTGTCAAAATTTCTCAGAAATACTGCTGGCTAGGAGGGGAGTTCACTTAAGAGCCAGTTAGTTCAAGGTGTGTAGTAAGAATTGAGCATACATTAAAAAAGGAGAGTTCCTAGAATGGAAAAAGTGAAGGTAAAGGAAGCTGTACAGTACAGCAGATCCAGATAGATTCATAGGCAGTCTAGACTGGATATTCCAGTAGGAGATGAAAGTCATAGATCTCACACAGCGCAAGCAGAAATGCAAAATTTTCCATGTGTTTCATCAATACTCTTTTGTTTCAGAGGGTAGAGGGAAAGA